TTTGGTCTTATACACGATCTTGTAATTGATATCATTAATGAAATATGATAATATATTGAATTGGCATATAATAACTTGATAAAGATCTTACTTAGACTTGGTCTATAAGAGACTCGCCTTTATGAAATTTGTTATAAGCGTCTTCATGATAAATTATGCATAGTAGATAAAAGGTCACCTCAACCATTTTTAAGGCTAGCTTATTGATATGTGCTTGACAAAAGTCCGGACATTTGGGAATAATACCAAAAAATACATAAAAATAATGATCGGCTAGTCAATTAGAGGAACACACACCACTCAAATGACACAGATTGTGGTCTAAATAGCCATCCTAATGAATACAAGAACATGATGTATAATAAAAAAAATATACAAATAGAAAAGCTTAATAAAATCAGTTGGCCTGAACTTTAAACCTATTCAAGTTAGATGACACAAAAATAAAGAGAAAAATAAAGGAAACTTATATGTAGGCAATGACAACCTATGCTTCTCTAAAAACTCCACATGAATCTAAGTTAGAGTGGTGAATCATAACTTATCAAAAAACATAGTCTATCATGTCATTTAAAATCGACGTGATCTATCATGTTAGTCTAGGTCGAGTGATCAGTCATATCTTGTTAAAAAGCATGGTCCGTCGTGTCATTCAAAATTGACATAGTTTATCACATCGATCTAAGTCAAAGTGGTCAATTATATCTTAACAAAAAATATGATTTGTCACATCATTCAAAGTTGATACAGACCTATCACATTAGTCTAGATTAGAATGGTCGGTCATATCTAGTCAAAAAATATGATCTTTCACTTCATTCAAAATTAACATGGTCTATCATATCAATCTAGGTCAAGGTGGTTAGTCATATATTATCAAAAAGCATAGTCATTTGTGTCATTCAAAGTTGACAAGGTCTATCACATCGGTCTAGGCTAGAATAGTTAGTCATATCTTATATATATATAAAAAAAAAGCATAGTCTTTTCATGTCATTCAAAATCAACATGGTCTATCATGTTAGTCTAGGTCAAAGTAATCAGTCATATCTTATCAAAAAGCAAAGTTTGTCATGTCATTTAAAGTCAATGTGGTCTATCATACCATTTTAGGTCAAAATGAACGAGTAATATCTTGTAAAAAAACATGGTATGTCATATCATTTAAAATCGATATGGTCTATAATGTTAGTTTAGGTCAAAGTGTTCCATCATATCTTGTCAAAAAGCATGGTATGTCCCATCATTCAAAATCAATATGGTATGTTATGTCTTTTTAAGTTAAAATGGTCTGTCACATCCCTCTAAGCCAACATGGTCTCTCATATCCCTCCAAATTGATGTGCTTGTGTTACTCCCTTCAAGTCAATATGGTCCGTCATGTCCCTCTAAGTTAATGTGGCTTGTCATATCTCTTCAAATCGACATGGTTCGTCAAGTCCCTTCAAGTCAACATGATCTATCACGTCCCTCTAATTCGATATGGTCTATCGCATCCTTCTAAATCAACATTGTCTATCATGTCCCTCTAAATAGATGTGGTTTCTCATATCCTTCTAAATAGACGTGGTCCGTCATGTCCCTCCAAATAGATATGGTATGTCACGTCCTTTCACATTAATATGATCCGTCACATCTTTTTAAGTTAATGTGATCTATCATGTCCCTCTTAGTCGATATAGTCTCTCATATCCCTCCAAATTGACATACTTAGTGGTGGTACAATTCTAGTTTTTATTCGACCACAAAGATGAGTCCCTTCTAAGCCTTATATGGTTGTCCACCACCTACAAGGAGCTTATCATTTATGGTACATCCATAGTAGCTATTGTGACTAACTTGGTTTAGGAACGAAAAGCTCTAGAATCTTTTTAAAAGTTCAATTAGTGAGGCACAACATAGAATGAAGTAGCTTGTTGACAACGAAAGAAATGAAAGGGAGTTTTAAGTAAGAGATATGGTCTATCTCAAGCTTCGACCATATCGACAAATAAGTATAGCCACTAAGAAAAAAATTTAAGCTAAATCTATGTTTCTTTGGCCTTTACAAGATTTTACGAAGCTAGGTAAGATGGCTTATAAGTTGGAACTACTTGAGTGAGCAATGATTTATTTAGTTTTTCATGAATCCATATTGAAAATGAAGGTTGGGGATAATGTAATTGCCACTACTACATTACCTACCCTTAATGAGAATGTCTAAATTAATTTGTTTCCTGTGGCGGTATTGGGTAGGAAAATCATAAAGAAAAAGAGGCAAGCAATTACTATGGGTCGCATTTTATAGCAAGGTATATCCACAAAAGATGCTTCTTGGAAACTTATTCAAGACTTAGAGTAGCATTTTTCAAGTTTTTCTTTCAATCTTTAAGGATAAGGATTGTTTCCAACAAAGGTTATTATTATGTATAGTATTTCATTTACTTCATTGATTGTTAATTTTGTATTCATGCATTAGGAGCAATAAGCACATGTATATGTACTAGTTAGTTGCAATTGCCTTGCATGACAATTAGTTTGTTAACCAATTAGCATTAATTATTTTTTTGTTAAGTCTAGTTTGTACTATATAAGTAGCGAGAGAATTATCTAGAGAGGTTGGTTTTATAATAATTGATTCTCTATTGAATACAATAGACAAACACTTTTCTCTCTTTCTTTTTTCTTTCTAGTCATATTCTCTCTAAATTTTTAGGGTTCTTGTTAAGGAATCCATAGTTAGGCCTTAACGAGTTGATGGTTTAGGTCGATTAAAGTGAGATTAGTGTTGTGTTATGGTTGACAAAAGGGTGGTCGGTGACTGAGTGAGAATTTTGGAGAGAGGACAAGTCAATTGAGAGATAGAGAGAGAGAGGGAGAAAGGGAGGGAGAGAGAGGATGTGGAGAGGGTGGTTAATAAGTACGAATATGAAGTTTTAAAAAATTATGTTCATACATGACTTTTTCAAGGTGTGTTCGACTAAAAGAAAAATAAGGTTGCATGTCCATTTTTCTTTATAAATCTCTATAAAGTTCTAGAGATTTATATCCAAATCCTTTTTGTCTTGGGCTTTTTTGCTTTTGTTTGTCCTAAATTATTATGTGATTTTGATTTTGCTTCTTTTTTTTTTTCTCGCAACCATGCATTTGCATCGGTTTTAAAAAGGAGTTACAACTTAAGAAATTAAAATAACATTTTATTTCTTTTTATTAATATAAGATACATTTAATAAATATTCGACAAGTATTAAAAAATTTTTAATCAAGCATCATATCAAATACGAGCTTGATATGAATACATAGAGGATTTAGAAGTATTTGCATTTTATATTTTATAAGGATATAGAACTTGAATATTATCGAAGTCTTTATCAATTATTGTGGTGTTCTTATTAGGGGTTAGTGGCATTTTTTATGATATACTCTTGATTTTTTTTAATAGATTTCAGCCCTCATATTTGTTTTTTTTTAATTCTAGATTTTTATATTGCATTTTTTGTTGTTGGTTCTTTTGTATTACTACTAGCTATCAGCCTCTAGGTTATTGCCTATTTGATTATAGTCTATAAATGACCGTGTACATATTATCACCTATAACCTTCCACCTACTAGCTACTAATTAACTACAAGTTTCAAGCGTTGAAACTTACAAAAGTGTTCTTTAAGCTATTTACATTTTCAAGATTTTTGTTTGTGTGTTGTATTATTGTATGTGTTTTTCTTCTACTGTAACTAGTATTTATAAGCTTTTTGCTCCTTCATGATCTTCTATAATAGGCCACTTTCTTTCACGTATTCTATATTACTCCATGTTCTTTTTTTATTTTTTTCCTTACGTTGTAATGCATTTGTATCTTTTTTTTATTTTTTATTTTTTATTTTTTGCATTGCAATGCATCATGTTCCTTACTCTACTCTGTTATTTTTGTACTACAATCTCTCTCATTCCTTCTAACTATCTGGATCGTGCTCTTATTACTACTAGAATTATATTCTTCTTTAACTACTTTTATATTGACTTGTTGCTGACTATTCTTACCCTTAAATTAGAGTCGTTCTCCTATATTTTCTTTTTGTATTTGCTGTGTCGAGAGTTCTTCTTTTGCCTGTACCTCTTTCACTTGTGGAAAGCGCTTCTATGGTCTCATTTGGATAGATTTATTAGATCAAATGCGACTATTAGGCTCAACTGGATATGGATGATCTTTTCTAAATAGGACATGCTTAGTGGGTTTTAAGTGAATCTAATCAAGAATAAGATTATGAAAAACTCATTAAAGAACCCATTGAAGAACTTGATAGACTTTATTCATTTTTTTCTATTTAATTTATTGGGTCATGACACATAATAAATTTGTGTATAACAGTTTTATAAAGGTTTTGTCTTTTTGTTCAATTTTGTTTTTTTTTAACATTGGGTGCTACGCATTAAAAATATGTTCATCAACATATAAAAAAATTATTCATGAAAATTTAAAATTGATCAAGAAATGAAAATGCCCAAATTTGAATATTAAGGAACAAATTAAAATTATTGAAAAAAAAATTTTTGCTTTAAAATAAGCAATTACAGAAGTATTATAGAAACGAAATTAATGCAAAAGAAATTAAATAAAATTATTGAGCCAAGCATATACCCTTGGAAAAAATGATTGGCTTTTGTAAATTTAAAATTAAATTTTAAAAAAAAATCTTATAGAAATTAAATTAAAAATATGTATGATAAAATATACACCATTTTCCCTTTAATTTTACTTCAATTTTTTAATATCTAATTTATTTTTTTATTTTTGATAATTTTTAATAACTAATTGAAAGAGTACTAGGATAATTAAAACGTTGTATTAACGCTTCTATTTAACTAGTCACTGTAAATATTGGTACTTATCAAACCTCACTACAAATAGCATGATGATTCATTGAACAAGCACCGACCACAGCTTAATAACGCCATTTAGATTGATGATTGGAAGCCACTTGGAACATTTGAAAATTGAACCGATGGCTGACATTTCTCGTTAATGGCAACTTCGAAACTAGTTGGTGATTTCAAATATCAAAAGCGACAAACAACTACCACAATAACACCATGCCTTCCATTGTCAATACAATTTCTTACTGATAAAAAAATAATAATAATAAAATAAAAATAAAATAAAATAAAATTCTATCTTCCTTAATTGAGATAACTTAATTATGCAAATTGATGAATCATATTATCCTACATATTCATTAATATTGTATTTATATTAACAACGAAGTCAACAAATATTAAGTTTAGTTAAGCAGTGCTCAAATGAATTTTTTTTTATCAATATATAAGGTTTGAATTCTAAATTTATATTAAATTTTATCATTCTTATTTTGAATAGAATTAATACTATGCCTAATTTGAAAAAAATAAAAATAAAAAAGCGGTATGTTCTTTAGCTTGCTTTGACCCTTCATTGCATTTAATTTTCTGCATTTACTGGAGTTTTTGGTCATACACGCAACCTTCGAGTGCATCATTGCGATGTTATAGCACGCCCAAATGGTCAAGGACACGTCCAAGAATGTCTCAAGAGCTTGAAGGATGCAAATGAAAGTCTTACTGGGATTGGAATATTGACAAGAGAAGAATGTCCAAATGTGTTCCAGATGCCTCTTCACTACCCAAGGTACACAATAGCAGATTATAAGAAAATGGAGGAGTGGAAGCTTGACATGCTTCCCAGTGAATATGGACTTTGTTTTAAGGGTACCCTAGATGAGAAAAGGGCATTTCGCATGGGAGCATTCATGTGGCCGGATCATCTTTGAAACGTTCTTTTTCCATGATCAATGCCTCGTGTATATGCGTGTGTAGTAGAACCTTTTTTCTTTTTTAAAAAAAATAATAATAATAAGAAAGGCACTAAGGCATGGACAACAAGCAAGTGAACTTCCAACTACCTTTGTGCCTCATAACTTCCTGTTATTGGTCCATGTTGGAAATCTTTAGATTTAATTAGTAGTGAAGTTGAAGTAATGTCTCCCTTCCCAGGGTTGGATCGATCAGTCTTAATAATTATGAGTTGAGGCTTGTAAGTTATAATTAATGAAGATACCTTTAGATATGCTTATGTGGCGTACAGAATTTTCAATTTTTTTCTTAGAATATATATATATATATATATTCTAACTCAAGATTTTTTGAAAAATAATAATAATAATAATAGTACTAGTACCAATTGAAGCATCTTTTATTGATGATAATTTAGTAGTTAAAAGGTTATCTGTTTCACGAATGGAATATTACTTTAAGTTGATATATTGCTCATCTAATAATAATTAGCAAAAGTTGATATATGCAACCTGATTTATCTTTATCAGTAGTGTAATAAGGATGCATGATTATATTGCTCATCTAATAATAATTAGCAAAAGTTGATATATGCAACCTGATTTATCTTTATCCTTTTCCAGAATGAGCTTGAATGAGGATGTGGATAAATCTTTTTGAAAGCCAATTTGTTGTTTACTTGAGGCAAAGGAAAACCTTTCGCGCTGTACCCCTCGAATCAAAAGGCATTTCTAATATGAAAAGCTCCAAAAGTATATCAAAGTAAAGAGGATATAACAAAAAGAGATAGTCAATCAAACAAAAAGACAGATTTTAGGCATTTTGTTTGAGCCATGCTACAGGTGATGAAAAGTTATTGAGATAAGCATCTCTTGCAGTTGACACGTATGTATCCTTAAAAAAAAGAACTAAACCATCATTCAAATGATCAATTTCTATTAGAAGGAAGCCTTGACTCAAACGATAATGTAATGTGTTTTGCAAAGAAGTTAGGTTAGGAGTCAATTTCTCTCTCTCTCACTCACTTTTATTTTTGTTTATTTTTATTTTTATTTAGGTATTTTTATCCTTTATTAGAAATATAACTAATCATATTCAAAACGATAATAACAAAATTTAATTTCTTTTAATGAATATAATTTTAAAATTTAAATCCTTTATGTGGATAGAATATTTGTTTAGCTTGATTCGTTTATCATTAGATTAACAATTTATTAATAATGTTTTTTATTTTTTATTTTTAATATGACGCAGCTATCATGAATAATGGAAAGAGAATGTTTTTTCAAACTTTATATATATCGTTTGGTACATAATTATTCTAATATTATATGAGAAAATAAAGCTATAGCTGCACCAAATTGAAGTTATTTTACTGCTCTTTCAAGCAGGTATAAAATTGAATTCACATTTATGATTTCTATGGTACTCCAAACCAATTGACAACGATACGATGAAGTAAACAGTTATCTGGTCAATATGTAGTTCTAGTGCTTTTGTGATTGCTTTTTCAAAAAGCTTTTGGATGGAGCAGAAAAGCATTACAAAAACATGGGAAACCCAACACAAAACACACAATTAATTAGTGATTTTGGACTGCGTTTGATGTTGGGATCCTATCCAAGACCAAAAAGTGAGCAACGAAAAAGAAAAACAGATAAATTATGTAAATTTTTATATTACTCAAATTTATTAGAGTTGAAAATTGATTTAAAGTGATATGTACCTTTTTTGGTTAATGTATAAATAAGATGCGTTTTAAATTAATTCAATTTAATTAAAGGTCATATTTGACCTTTTAAATTTTTTGAACTTAAAATTTCAGGAAATTAACTCAAATTTTCCTTATAATTTGTGCTCAAACTCAAACATATCCTTATAAATTTAATTGCTTTCAATTTATATCTAAATATAAGATCATTCTCCAATCTATTATTAATCTATCATATATTTTCATCTAAATTGATGAAAATACATTTTTCATGAAAAACTCAAATTTAACTTAACTTATTAAAACAACTATGAAACAAAAACAATTTTAACTGCACATGATAAATTTTTTACTCTTTATTTTTAAAATTTTTTTTTAATAAATTAGGTGTGGTTTGAGTTTCTTAGGTAAAAATATTTTTATTAGTTTGTATGAAAATATTTATTAGAATGATATATATATATATATATATGATGATGATGATGATGATGATGATGATGATGATAGAAGATTGAGAGTAAATGCTTTTGGTTTAAAATCAGTGTTTGATTAATGCATGTTTAGCTTTAAAATCAAAGCAGATGTGGCTTTAAATGGAAATTGCTTTACTCTTTAAATAAAATAGGATATCTCCTTCTTTTAATTAAAAATGCAATTGCTTAATGTGAAATCTATTTTTAAATTAAAACGACAAAAAGTTAGTATTTTACGTAACTCAATCTCAGAATTGTTTTTTTTTTTTTCCTTATATCATTGATTTTTTGAAATTATATGTGTGTGTTGACCTTATTTAATTTTTTTTTCCCTAAAATTTTCTAATTTAAGAATTGCTCTCATAAAAAAATATAGACACATGCCATCCAAAAGGTGATTTATTTGCTCTTAATTTCGATAACCAAAAGTAAAGAAGATTTAACAAAAAAAAATCCCAAAGGATACTTTAAAATTTAAAAGTATGAAGAGTGGGTATCAAGAAATTATTATTATTATTATTCAAAAAATAAGGAAATGAATACCGCTATAGCTAGATGCTTACGATTCATTGGGCATTAATATCATTATTCAAAAAAGAGTGGATATCTCTTTTTTTTAATTAAAAATACACTTGCTTATAGTGAAATCTATTTTTAAATTAAAATGACAAAAAGTGATAGTATTTTACGTAACTCAATTTCAGAATTGTTTTTTTTTCCCCTTATATCATTGATTTTTTGAAATTATACGTGTGTGTTGACCGTATTTAATTGTTTTTTTTCTCCCTAAAATGTTCTCATTGAAGAATTGCTCTCATAAAAAAATATAGACGCATGCCATCCAAAAGGTGATTTATTTGCTCTTAATTTCGATAACCAAAAGTAAAGAAGATCTAACAACAACAACAACAAAATCCAAAATGATACTTGAAAATTTAAAAGTATGAAGAGTGGGCATCAAGAAATTATTGTGATTATTATTATTATTCAAAAAAATAAGGAAATTAACACCGCTATAGCTAGATGCTGACGATTCGTTGGGCATTAATATCATTATTGACTTTGAGAAATTTGTGAAAATAATGACACGTAGCAGAATATTTGTGACCAAACGATCGAGAGATGATGTGGCAAAGCTAGTCCGACAGCAATCATGTAATTTGCAATGACGCTGAAATTGCTTGAAGTTGGCATCATGGAAAATTTGCTGAAAATAATAATAATAATAATGGAGTATTAAATATGCTTACTTCTGAAGCCTCGCGAGTGATGCACTACAGGATCCAAACCAAACCAGCTAGACTTGACTTATAGGCACATTCCTCGGTGTTTCGAAAAAGAAAAGACCTCAACTGTCTTGTACATGCGGTGAACTGGTGGTTGGATATGGGCTTTGGAAACTTGTTAATCCACCGTATATCTAATTAATCTGCAGTAGTAGTACTGTATGTGGACATAACTTTAGAAGTGAATCTCCTTTTCTCAGTGCAGTGATTGGTCCCAACTGCCTTGTGATTGCCACATTATCCCTTACTCTTTTTAAAAGGTGGAAAGCCGTCAGCTTCAAATTGGCAAACTTGAAGATAAAAGCAAAACTCTCTCTCTCTCTCTCTCTCTTGTGTTTATAATGGATTAGCTAATAGCTAGGGCGTTCAATTAATTAATTTAGCTATCGAAGGATACCCCCTCCATTTGCGCAACCTTGACTACCACACAACTTCAAGGGGAACTAAACCTGTTTACTTGGTATTGGGGACTCTACTTCTACATCATTTGCATATTATATGCCTCTAATCAATTAAGGGCATTTTAGTACCACACGTCTCTATCAATCTCATGATCAGTTTCTCTATATAAAGAGGGTGTGATTCATGGGTTTTGACACGCCAACCTACAAGCCAAAACCCTCCCAAAATTGATTCCCGGGCTTCACCACTACAAATTATTCCTCCTCCTTCTTCATCTTATTTATAAAAAAAAAAAAAAAAAATGAACCAAATCGAGCATCAAAACCTACAAACCTTGAGTCAGATAAAAAAATATCGGATTCTAAAGAAAATAACCCAATTGCTACTTTCAGTTTCGGTGTTTTCCTTGTTATTATCTAATTACTCCTTTGGGCCTTCTTTCCTCCATTCTTTCCACTTCTACTTGTCCACACTCCCTGTTCAATTGTTTACCCATACCTTAGACAAGAACTGCATATTCCTCCTCTGCAATGGACTCCTAGTTTTCGTCGCTAAGTACTCGGGTCTCATTACTTCTTCATCAAAGAATATTCCAACTAGTACTATTGATCAGTCTTTCAACAACTATGAAGATGTCACATCCGATTCAAAAATTCTGGTGCTGCAGGATGAATTAGTTTTGGTGGAGAATGTTGATGGCGCCCAAGAAAATATTGCTGTCATGGAAGAAGATACAGAAAATGAGTGTATGAATAATATTGGACAAACAGAAGATAGAGAAATTGAGGAGCTCATTGTGGAAGAAGAAGAAGAACAAGAAGAACAAGAACAAGATGATGATGATGACGACGACGACGACGACGACGAAGGAGATAGAGAGAGTGGGTTCTTGATTACTGGGAAAGAAGGAGAGGGTGAAAGTGAGCTTTCTGTTCAAGGACAGCAGGTAATAGAATACTTGAGTGAAGACGTTGAAGAATATGATGATATTGGTGAAGGAAATGGGGTGCTGAGTACAGAAGAATTGAACAAGAAGTTTGAAGATTTCATTAGAAAGATGAAAGAAGAAATACGAATTGAAGCTCAACAGCATTTAGTCATGGTTAATTAATTGATATATATATTATATATTATCAAGGATGAAATTATATAAGCCCGATCGAGTTCCAATTATCATATTTGTAAACAATGTATTATTGTCTCGTTTTCTTGAATATGTTAGTCATAGATAGCTTATTAATCAAATTAATCTAGCTATTTTCTCCTTCTTCTTCGTTTTTTTTTAAAAAAAAATTTAATTTCTTTTTCCTACTATTGTAATATTGTGACCTAATTTCCACTCTACATTTAAAACAGCACGTACAGATGGATGGCAAACAATATAGATATATATGCTATTAATTTTTCAATCATTATATATTCTTTATTTTCTGTTTTTTGAAAAAAAAATTCAAAATTTTAAAATATAAACAAGAAATAGCAAAGAGACGCTTTTTTAATTTATTCAATGCTTAATTTATACAATTCAACCACTGTGGCATTTAACACAATTAGGAGCCACAAAAATATTTGCATGGCATGGCATGCAATATTCATCCATGTATAGCTTCATTTGTAAGCTATAGATATTTAACACAATTAGTGTCTCTAATTAATTAATTATATACGTCAAATCAGTAGTTGGCGTAATTTGTCAAACTCAGAAATATTTATTGGCAATTTGCAACAAATCTAAATATTTTTTGTTCTTAATTATATACATATTCATGATGCTTAAGAATTAATTTAATGTTGTAATTGTATTGGACAAAAGAGGCCCATATGATAATGATATTCATGTCTAGATAGAAATCAGGAGGGCCTGTAAATATAGCCAGACAAAAGAAGAAAAGATTGGCAAATTTTGTCTGGCATTGTAGGGGAGCAAAAAGTTTTTTTAACACTTGGAGAGTTGTTCACAATTACCCTCTTGACTTGGGAACTTCTTTTTCAAAAGTATTGCTCATAACGGTCGGTGAAAGAAATCATGGATGAAGATTTTTGGCCAATCCTCGTCTCCATTAATAACCTAAAGTTTAAGATACAAGCAACCCAAAGTTTTAAGATAGAAGAAAACATGGGGTGTCCGATTGCTTATTTTTGTAAAATATAATATTCGATTTTTAGTTATTTTTTCAGTTTATTTTATTATTCTATAATGAAAAAGAACTGCTTTTATCATGCATGTAGTTTTAAAACTTTAACAGATTTTTCTATAAACCAAAAAAAAAAAAAAAAAAACTAAAGTTTAAGATTCTTATAGTAACATATAGGTCATGACTATGATTATATTATATAAAAACATTATTACCTAAAGATATATCCAAATTTTGTTTTATATAACGTTGTATCTATCTATTTATTAATTTATAGATAGATACATGGTGTGTGCGTCTATATATATATATATATATATATAAAAGGCAAACATGCATTTATAGTTTATTAGAAGTTAACCCCTCACTACCTATCTTCTTTTTTTTCTTTTTTTTTTGAAGTATTTGTTCTATACCAAAAAAAAAAAAAAAAAAAAAAAACAAACAAACAAACAAAAATCAGTGTAAAATCTCTTTCCTCATTCACTTAAAAACACTTAATTACCTTACCTAGCGCACCTTCTATGACAAGAAAATTTAGACCTCTTCAAGTCAACTCCTTCATATGCAACCATAGTTTCCTTAGTTTCCTTCTCTTGGTTCTCTACTACTACTACTACTAATAATAATAATAATTCATAAATAATAAATTTACTATAAAGGTCAAATTATGATTCATTTACAATCTTACTATATTTCAATTAAATTATTTATAAATAAAAATATCATATCATGTGATATAATTTGCATTACTTTTTTTGTTTTCAAAAGTCAAGTATAATTAACAATTTTAAATGAATATACATATATATAGAGTATATAGGATATCTTATATATACATTTTTTAAAAATATTTTATTACACATTTTATTTTTATTTATAATGATGTTAATTTGCATTCAATTTAAATTGATGAAAAATTGTACAAATGGCTAATTGAGATGAATAGATTTGTTTCTGTGACTATGCTCGTACGCTCATATATTTATGCAAGTGCGATATAAAGTGGATTTAGTATAAATAAAGAAACATTTAAAATTGTAACTAAGTATGTTCGCGGAAATTCAACATTTGCGTAATATAGATTTGAGTAAATCGTTTTTCATTGGTATTGGACCAAATACCATTTACTACGTACACACACTAAGAACAAAACAGCTAGATGAAATCAGTTACGTTAATTAATTAGCATAAGACATCAAATAAAAAATTATTTTAATAATTGGCATAATACATGGCTTATAAAATAAGTGGGTTTGTGTGGTGCTGCAAAGAAGATTTTTCAAGGACATTAGTGATTGCAGACCATCTCCTGTGGTTGGAAAAATAATAAATTAAAATTAGAAGATTTCAACTTAATTAGCAGTCATTGATGGATTGTCAGACTAAAAAAAAAAAAAGTCCTAGCAGTTTTTCCTCTAGTAATATAGTTTTTCAGGAGTGAGAAACTTGTTTTACCCCAAATCTAGTATTGTATTTCAATTTATTTTTTATTTTATTTTATTTTATTTTTTTTGTAAAAATTTCTTTTGTATGCTTTTGGAAGTCCATTGATGAGATTAAAATTCTTATTATTTTTTATTAGTAGAGAATATTACTTTAGAGTGGTTTCATCTGATTATGATTAAGAAGCCTTTTTTTTTCATATCAATGAAAATTCAAACTTTGACGAAATAATAATAATAATAATAATAAATAACGGGTTATAATCAAATTAAATTTACTAGCAACCGGATGATCAAAATCAAACCACCTGGCTATATTATATGGGTACTGCAGACGATCGAATTGTTGATATGATAATATGATTTCAAACAATAATTCTCTTAATTAGTTTGTGGAGAGTGCCAAGTTTATTGCTTATATATGTAGTTTTTTCTAGAATATATAATATATCAATTGGTTTAAAATTATTATTTTTTAAATTAAGATTATACTCATTATTTTCTTTTCATTAATAATTCACTCACAATTTTTTTTTTTTTTAGCTAGCTAGTGTCAAGTCATGAATAAATTAAATGCATTGTTTTAAGATACAGCTAGCTTGTGAAAGCATAATTAATGACTATGTGTGGTTTAAAATGGAAGCATGCACCTTCAGTGCTACACTAGAAATTGACATTTCACTCACTTTTGTTTGTTGCTTGGAGAGTTTATATTTCCAATCTTTTAATTTTATTTTTTCTTTTTCTTTCTTTCCAAATGGATTACGTTTAGTGACATGGAGTAAATTAAATATAATAATAAAATGCATAAAGTAAGCAATTTCATTAGAGGGGTTTAATAGGTAACCTTTTTTTCTTTTCAAGTATTATTGTTAGTTTTCCACTAAAAAGAATTTCAGTTCTCTTCTCTCCTTTCAAAAAAAAAAAAAAATAATAAATAAAATAATACCTAGCATTAATTTGGGCCTCTTGATCAATCCTCTATAAGCAACAATAGTTTCCTTTTCTCTATCCTAAAATGAGAAGAATCCTTGAAATTTAAACCGTACTTAACGCCTTTTTCTTTTTTTTTCCTTCTCAAATTCTATCAATTTCTAATTAAAATAATTGGATTGCCCAATTATTTTAAGAAAATAAAACCTGATTAATGAGTCATCTTGTAGCAACACTCTATTTTTCCGTCCTGTATCACTAGAAAAGAGAAGGATGATATCTCACATTTATAAAATATGTTTCAGACTCTGACGAAATTTAATTTGCTCGATCCTTGTCAAAGGAAATTGCATACAGATATTAATTATATCATACCTACCACACCTTTATAAGAAAAAGAAAATAAAGAAATTTAGAGATTGAGGTTGTTGAACTTCTTAATTACCTACATGAGGTTAGTTTGTAAGATTATGGAAATTTGATCGAAGGCATGTAATTACTCTTCTTCTTCTTCTTCTATTTTATTTATTTATGTAGTTAGATCGATGAGTGGGTGAAAAATATGAGATTGTTTCAGACGATCGAATTTTGACAATGATGAGTGACAAAAAATACACATTAAAAAAAATAGAGATACAATTAATAAAACATGCATCTAGGTTCAATTAAGATAGAAAAAATCAAAAGGTTTCTTTATATCTTTTTTTTTTAATTTTTTATTCAGGTATTGGCTATCTTGTGATCTTATAGGCGTGCGGGAAATTTTGAGTAAAGATATCAAAAAAATTAGGTGAAAAAAATATATTTGATTTCGATAAATTTTTTTAGATTAATTTTGCGGTATGAAAACAATTAAAATGAGTTTTTGTAAATAATTTCACCTAATTTATTGGAAACACAGTATAAAACAGATGACCAGCTATTAACTATATATATTTGGATAAACTCCCCTTCCGAGAAGTCAACGAGGAGTTATTAACTCTATTAATTACCTATCTACCTAGGTAGGTTGCAAGGAAGTGGTAAATGGGTCTTCCACGTGCTCCATTTTAATTATCCTATGCTGGGAATATCGATTGAACACTACCATCTTATCCATCTTTCGTGGGGGAACAAAATTAAGCAAGATGCGACTAACATACATGTCCACAAAAATTTATGATTTTACTTTTTTCTTTTTGTGTGTGTGTGTGTGATATTTACACGCCAAGGATATCCGGCAAATAAGAGTTAACTTTCTTCCAAAATAATAATAATGTCAGACATTCAACTAGCTAGCTAAGCTAAGCCATACATAATATTTTCAAAAGCGAACCTCAAGATGTATAAGACTTTCCAATTTCAAACCGACACATATCGCTAGCTAATCATTAGCACAGAATCTATCCTTTGTGCAGTCCTCAAGAGTTACCCAATTAAACTACGGTAAGAGGGCAGCCTCATCGATCCATTTGTACGTGTGTCTGTGTTCTCTTTGGGTTAGCTAATTAATAGCGGTTTTCAAGCTAAGTACGTACGTTCCGAGTCGCACTAGCTAGGATCAGACTCGGTGCATCTCATCATATGAGGGATTGAAAATTGAGATGCTTATTTACATGGTACGCCTACATGTGGCGGACGAATCTATAAACTCTTTACACCTATGTGGTCATAAACTCGAGAGCTTTCATTTTCATAGATTCACATCAAAAAAACACCAAGTTCTATCTATATAATCTAGCTAGGGCTCCTGGGTCCTCTTGTTTCAAAGTTAAATCAATTCTCATATTGAATCAACATGCTTGATTCAGCAATCCCGATTGTAAGATTCGCAGAAAACGAGTGATTAATGAATCTAGAAGAATCCATCCAAATTATGTGGGACGACTAAGAGTAGCATAGATTAAATGCGACACAACAACATACCTACCAGTACGGGCAACTTATAGCTATATCTCTTCAAGGGGAAGTAAAGACTATTGCATGCTACCAAAAACTCTTCTGTTCTGTGGCCCTAGAAATTAAAGCCATTGAAAGAAAACAAAATTGGTACGTCGCGAAATGGCGTGTATCCGAAAATCTGTACTTCTCAGCTGGTGCCTTGCCCTTTGCAAGGTGTCCACGTGAGGGATGAGGTTTCGGGTGAGTCATGATTGTCGCTTGGGCAGAATCATGAATGAAGATGGATAAGCTTGATGGGGGTGGGGTCTGGAAGAGTGCAGCCGACCTTTTAGGGCTATACACACAAAGGCAAGAAATTAATTAAGACAATGGCTATGATTGTTCAAATCATCTAATAATGCAATCTTATGTGTGATCAATCATGAGGTGGGGTCTGGGGATCGGTCGAAATTGGAGGGGCCCAAAACAACAACAATTCATTTTTGAGAAGTTCAATCAAATGGATATTAATTACAAGAATTCTTAGCCAGAACCGCGAAACGTCCTCCAAGCAAGTGTTTCAATTAGGCTCTGCCACTTTGACATACCTACCATTGCTCAATTCATGACATCAAGGAATTGAAACTTCATGTATAGTTGATTACCACTGATTGTTCTACTTGTAAATGACATTCCGCAATTTAATAAGTATCATTAATCACATTTAACGAAAAAAAAATTATTATTCAATTCGTAACAATACTATAAGCATTTTATTTAGTTTCATAAAATTTTATTTCCTCATTTCATAATTAACTAATTTCACAATAATTATGATAATCACGAATGATGAGATATAATTTGGATAAAATGTATATTTTATTATCTTACAGATGAAAAAAATATATAGTATTTATATTTTAATAAGTTATTTTTAAAAGATTACGAATTAGCAAGTAGTTATATTCAACGTATCGTAAATCTTATATACTTTGTAATTTTAAAGGCTAATGTTACCAAATAACCCTAGCACTCACCTAAAATATAATAAATTGACTGAAGGTTACTATAATTATGGATTTGAGGAAGACGAGGAGGTGGCTACAGACGGTTCCCCTTTTCCACATGTTAATTAATTATACAAACCACAAATGAAACAAGGCTATGCCAATTCAGAACGCCCGCACATGTTTCCTACGGATGCTAGAGTACGATTAGTCTCCATCATCATGAAGTGCAGTAGCAGAAATTGTATAGCTTTCAAGTACGTACTATGAATTGAAAAGACCAAGTTAGCTGCACGTAACAATGTCAGCTGAACCCCATTGGCTTGGATTCTCATCGACTACCCAAAGAGCTAATCCAATGTAACAGAGTACAATATATTAGATCATGGAAATATCACATCTCTCTACAAGAAAAAACATGTAAATTTACCATCTATTTCATATATTCAATAATATCCCTCTATTAACTACAACGATTAAAGAAACAAGGGAATAAAAATAAACAACTTATCATCATTGTCAAATAATAATAATAATAAATAAATAATATATTGATACAAAAGAAATAGAAATAATTGGAGAATTGAATAGAAAAATAATGAAGAAATGATTTTACTGTAAAGAGGATATAAAAGATAACAACTCTAAACAATTCTCACAATCTCTACAAAAGGCTTGTACACCAACTAATGAACAATCAAGCGTATTTATAGGCTTTAAAATTGAAAAGAAAATTGAAAGGGACTATGAATAATCAATTGCATCATCTTTTCAATTTCTCATATTGAATAATGAATTGAATTATATTAAGAATTATGAGTAGCGAGGATATAAAAAGTAGATGAATATGATGATGGATATTCATTATTTCATAAAACTCTCACTTGAATGTCCATTGTACAAGGAACATGCCTCGTTAAAACCTTATTAGGAAAAAACCAATGAGAAAAAATCCTAGTAAAGGAAAAAGAGTACAATATTCCTTGTACACATTAATCTCAATCGTCGGCCTCCCCTTGTTGAAAACATCATTTGAGATCTTTAAGACGACGTATTTCAATCTTGTGAATCATCTTCTCAAAAATTGTGATAGGTAATGCTTTAGCGAATAAATTTGCTTGAATTGTCACTTTTATGTATTCTTCTTTCAATGGAATTATGCAAGCAACATTATCCTTATATGATATTGTTGGAACTTCTTTTATTGATAAATAAACTACATTTCTCTCGGATATGAAGGATCATTGATCTTAGCCAAACACATTCTTGACTTGCATCGTGAATTGATATTTCGCATGATTTGAAGATGTGGCGGCTATAGTTTGCTTCATAGAATGCCAAGATATAGCTATATCTCCATATATAAATACATAATCGAGTTGTGATTGAGCTTTGTATAAATCGGATAAATAACTCGCATTTGAATAACCAATTAATCTTTTCTTTGATTTATTGGAGTAATATAAGCCCATATCAATTATTCATCGAAAATAACGTAGTATATGTTTAATTTCAGTCCAATGTCTTCATGTTAGAGCGTAACTATATCTTGCTAATAAATTTATAGAAAAGATTATATCATGTCGAGTATTATTAGCAATATATATCAATGCACTAGTAGCACTAAGATACAATACTTCGGGACTAAGTAGTTCTTTGTTATCTTCTTAAGATCGAAAGGATCTTTTTGGATATCAAGTGAATGAATTACCATTGAGCTAGTCAATGAATGATCTTTATATAAAATCATTGTAGAAGCTTTTTCTATATAAATTGACTAATGAATAAACGTCTCATTCTCCGAGTGCTCGAACTACAAGTCGAGATAATATTTTATTTTCCCAAGATATTCACATCAAATTCTCTTTTTAAATAACTTATGACACTTGAAATTTTTTCAGGAGTTCCAATAATATTTAAGTCATTAACATATACAACAAACCCTTTTTCAAATAAAAATATATGAACAAATAGGATTTTTTTTTATAACTTTCTTTCAATAAATAATCATTGAAGTGATTATATCACATGCACACAGAGTTAGTAATAAACGAGTAGATATAAAAATAAAATATAAAAAAGTATAATATAAATTAAATTTCTAAAAAATAAAATAATAAAACAAATACTAGTAATCTTAATAGAGGTCTCTATAATTTAATTGAATTCTTTTCTCGAGAAATGTATTACATGCTTCGGCATGTTAAGTCCTTTTAGGACTTTCATACCGATATCATTTCAAATGAACAAATAAATTGTGATCATATTCAATAAATGCATGCATATGAATGTTTTTCATATATTTTTTCGAGTTAATGAGATAATAAAATATAATTGCATCAATTATAGGAGAATATGTCTCCTCATAGTCAATGTGAGTTCTTTGCAAGAACTCTTGTGTTATAAGTCTTGTTTTGTATCTCATAATCTCATCTTTCTTATTTTGTTTTCATAAAAATACATATTTATATCCCACTAGCTAAAAATCTTCGAGTTTTTTAGTTATGGGTTTAAAAAACTACTCTTTTATAGGAGAACATAATTACTGCTCGAATTGCTCTTTTCATTTAGGCTAATCATCTTTATGTCGACATTCTTCAATAAATTTTGACTCAAGATCCTTATTTTCATTCAAAATATCAATTACAATATTCGATGCAAAAATCTTATCGATAAATATTTCTTTTCGGTCCTATTTTCTCTCTCGTATTAACATAATTTATCAAAATCTCTTGATTTTCTCAAGCATTTGGAATTCTTCCGGAAGCATATTATCGAAATATCTTGGATTGTTTTGTGAATATTTTCATTTTTTATATTTTCATCTTGTCCTTTTCTTTTGAAGATTTTTATCTTTAGAACCGATCGATCTTTTATGCTTTAAACATGCTTTAAATTCATTAGCTATATCATTAATAGATCGTCCCTCTAGAACATCAATTCTAATAGAAGCATTCTCAACGAGGACATACATTTTAATTACTCTTCTAGGATATGAGAATGCATCTAGCGAGTTAATTTGTAATACCATGTAAATGAATTATCTTTTGAACTTCACATTGTTTTGTACCACATTGATATAAAGACATAATACTCTATGTAATCTCTTTTTTTCAATATTTTCAATCGCTTATCTTGTTTATTCTCTCCCTCTAATGTTGGAAAAAGATAGGTAGTGAGGGGCTAACTTCTAATAAACTATAAATGCATGTTTGCCTTATATATATATAGACGCACACACAAAGTATCTATCCGTAAATTAATAAATAGATAGATACAAAGTTATATAAAACAAAATTTAGATATATCTTTAGGTAATAATGTTTTTATATAATATAATCATAGTCATGACCTATATGTTACTATAAGAATCTTAAACTTTGGTTTTTTTTTTTTTTTTTTTTGGTTTAATCATAGTCATGACCTATTTGTTACTATAAGAATCTTAAACTTTGGTTTTATATAATATAATCATAGTCATGACCTATATGTTACTATAAGAATCTTCTTTAAGTACCCATTTTATTTCATTATGAAGGAGCACTACGGATATACACTGCAATGTCAAAAATTATTAAATAAAAAATATTTGACTCATGACCATACATCAATTGAAGAGGAGATAATTTTTGATAACTTATGGGTCTAATGCGAATAAGTGTTGTTGCATGTAAGATTGCATGTCCCCTAATATAAATAGGGAGTTTTATTTTTAAATAATGGTTTAGCTATCAATTAGAGCCTTTTGATAAATAATTTTGCTAAACCTTTTTTAGTATGAAAATAAGCAACAGGATTTTCAACCTTTGTTCTAATAGCCAATCAATAATCACTTAAATTCACTAGCATTATCAAGGTGACTTGTTTTAATGACATAATCTGAAAATTATGCTCGAAATCAAATTATTTGCCGACAATATTGAAAACATCATGTTTCAAGTAGATAATAAACATATATATGACCATCTTATGGATGCATTTATTACAATCATAAAATATTTAAATGGTCCATATGGTGGATAAATTGATCCATATATATCACCTTGAATACATTCTAAAAATACCGAAGATTCAATCTCAATTTTACTTGGTGATGGCTTAATAATCAATTTTCCTTGAACATACGGAACATGAAAAATCATTCAATTGAAGAATCTTTTGGCTCATCAATAGATGTCCATATGAATTTTTAATAATTTTTATCATCATGAAAGACCCAATATAGCACAACTAGTCATGTCACATAATAAAAGTATTTGAATTAGTAAACTTCGATTTACTATAACATTTGTTTTAATCATTCCAATATTTATAATAAATACTTGGAAGAGAAAATGGATAAATTTTCAATACATATTTTTTTTACACGGTATAATGATTATAATATATAAGTATTCATATTTACTATCTTGATATGATATTAATTTAGATGAATACCTTTGAAACTCAATAAATTTATATGAAACTTTGAAAAGAATAGTACATCATTTATAATAAATTTATCCTTTCGGATAATAACATATTTGCTCTTCTGGAGCTTTTAAATTATGTCACTTCAAGCAATAATATATAAACTCTTATAGAGCTTTTAAAAGTTGTTTATTCATATAATAATGTATTTGCTCTTCTAGGGTCTTCAAAATTTATCTCTTCGAGTCATAATATAATCGCTCTTCTAGAGCCTTAAAAATTTATCTCTTCGGGTAATAATATAATCGCTCTTCTAGCATTTTCTATTAAATTGATATTATCATTTACAATATTAACATAAAATAATTAAATAAATAAATATATAGTAAAATAAAATTGTAACCATCACTATACGATATAAATTATAAGAAATATAAAATATTTTATTTATAAATAAAAAACTAATAAGTAATTAATTTCAATTACTATTATTTTGATATATAAAAGTGACCTTCATATTTTACTCTTTATTTTTCAATAAGGCTTGATAAGGCTCAATGAAGTGCTTTGATGTATGGCAAATACACGATCAATATTCATTCATTTCACATCTATAATATTTATTTTTCAGAATACTAACTTTATCTAGTTTTATTCTTTCTTTTTTTTTTTCATAGTTATCCACTTCGGTGGTGAAATATAATATTATGGTTATCACGATTATAATGATAATTATTTCAATCACGTCCATGGCAATGATCACATCTTCTTCCATGCTTAAAATTATTATAAATTATCACATTCACTTCAAGGAATAGAGTATATCCAATTGATCGAGATTTATTTTTTTATCAATAGCTTGTCATTTTATTTAGCCTTGAGCAAATATGCAATCGATTCGGAATATTTCTTAAACTCTTTTTCTTGATATGCTACCGTAGGAGCATATTTGAGATATGAAAAATAGATGATATTAACTTAGCATTAAACACTCTTTATCAATAATTCTTGCCCAAAATGTCAAAGGCCACAAAATCAAGTTTTGAATAGTTGATATGATATCATTAAAATTGTATATTGCAAAGTATAATAATAATGTTAGGAAATAAAGATAAAATTTAATAATAAAATTTAAATAAAAACAAACATAATAATAAAATTTGAACCTTTCAAATAATATATATTATATTATTAGATTCTATATATTAAATCATTAAAATTTTTCGAATGTATATTCTATGTATCATTAGATTTAAAGTACACTATAAATTAAATGCATACCTCGTAATGATCTAAATAATAATTTAGATCCAATTGGTAGAGCATTTGTCCGGAAGAAATCCAATGGTTCAAATAATTGATTAAGTCTTTTGGTAGATACATACCTCATGGTCTATTATCTCAATTGGTTAGAGCTTAGTGCCGATAACGTGTTATAAAAGAAATATAAATAATAGGAGAATTGAATAGAAAAATGATGAAGAAATGATTTCACTATAAAAAGGATATAAGAGATAACAACTCTAAACAATTCTCATAATCTCTACAAAAGGCTTATACACCAACTAATGAACAATCAAATCTATTTATAGGCTTCAAAATTGAGAAGAGAATTAGAAAGGATTATGAATAATCAATTGCATCACTTTTTCAATTTCTCATATTGAATGATGAATTAAATCATATTAAGAATCATGAGTAGTGAGGATATGAAAAATAGATGAACATGATGATGGACATTTATTATTTCATAATATATATCGAATTACTAAATGAAAAGAAACATAAGGACAAACTTTAGGCCTACTCTGCCTTGTCACATTATGGTGCAACATTTTGAGTGAAGTGGAGAGGGTGCTGGTGGTGCTGATGGAGGTTTAATAACGGGTGGAAGAGGAGGTGGCGGCTTCTGCTGCTGCTGTAGTGATAGAGGCCGAGGAGGCTGTGGCATTGGCCCTAGCAGAGGGGGTGGCAGTGGCATTAGATACTGATTTCTCCCACACCATTGTTGCTCTGCACCCCCAAAAAAAGGATATGGAATTGGAGGGTATGGCATCTCATATGGAATAACAAGGATTTTCTCCATAAAATGAATTAGGCATTTGCTCCATGACCTCACCATCAAACCTAACAGATGAGACCTCTCCATGTTTGCCATATTTATCAAATACATTCAAAATTATAGTGGGATCTACTTTTCCATTGACCTTCACTGTCCCTTGCTCTGCATCTAGGACCACAGAATATACTCCTACCAACAAAAGAAGGAACACAACTAATTTACGCAAAACAAGATCATGGTTAAATTGAGATATATTTTCATGTGGCCATAATAAGTTATGAAAAAAACATCAATCGAAATAGATAATTACCTTTTAGATTTTGTAACGCTTCCATTATTTTCCTTTTGCACCCATTACAGTGGACATTCACTCTCAATATACAACTCTGCAAGATACACAATTCAAGAAAATGGTACATAAATATAAAATTGCTTAGCAAATACAAGTAAAATCAATGAACTAAAATGAAATGCAGAGATTATATGAAACTGAGGATTTGAGTCTAACCATCTGTGCAATGGAGTCCATTTGAAAGCACCTGGAACATTTTTTTTTTCTCACTTGGAACAAAGTTTCTTGGGGGAGAAGGGATTAAATACCATCAATATCAGCGAATGTTGGGTTGTCAATGGTTGTCATGAAGGTCTGACTTGCCATTGTAAATAAGAAGATCGTGAAATTTTTAACCCAATAAGGCAAACATTGAAAAAGAGTCCATATTCATTTTTCAAGTAATCGACTTATGATCTTGTTTCCATATTTCTCTGTCAATTTTCTAAATCATTCCTCAAATCTCTCCATCTTTTCTTAACGGTGAGGTGGAAAACAAAAGGAAATCTCCTTACCCTAAAAAAGGTCATTAATTCCCTTATGGCTTATCGAGAAAAAAATATAATTCATTTCATAATGTATAGAGATGTTTACTTTATATTGTTGAAATACTACAACATTTCTGTTTAGTTAAAGAAAATTTCCTATATTATATCCGTTATCCTGATAGCGATTAATCTCATTTGATTGACTTTCTATTTTGGTCCTAAGAGATATACAGCTTGGTTACGTGTATTGATTGTGTCTGCATCAATACAAGTGCTAGTCAATACATCAACTGGGACTAAATCCCTCTCTATTCAAGGTTAAGAACACACCCTTCAAATCAGCTCAGTGCATTCAAAGAAATTTAATAATTTTTTTCTGGATGGTAGCCCAAGATTTGAACCCACGAAGTCAAGAAAAAGGAACATATTTTCCTGCTAATTGCCAACCAATAACCAGGTTGCATGATCAATTGTACAGAGATAAAAATACACTAAGAATATATGAACTTTACCGTTTTAATTAAGTTTTTCAATGATTTCAACTCTCAACTATCGACCAAGTATTCAAAATAATAATAATAATTCCAATGGAGTAGTTCAACTCTTGATATTGTATCCAGGGAGAATTTCAACTTTCTGAATCTTTGCGGGTATGTACTGCTCTGACAAGAAGGAAAGGGTGTGCACAGACAATGCTTCAATCTCGAATTTTACTCCCTTTTGTAACATTAGCTCTAGCTCCAACCTATCACGGAATATTATGCCACCCAGTATTTACACATGGTGCAGCACAGCCGTAACCAGCATGCACACGCACACGCGCACACACCATACATGTTAGAATATTATAAAATGCCACAAATTACAAATTTCCTACCTCCATTCTGGCACTTCCTTATGAAGGTAGCATCTGAGTAACATGGCTTCCGTTCTTCTCTTGTCTAACAGGCAATGCAAAAAAAAATACTTATACAAACTAGGAAATGGTATTTATAAAAGTAAAGGAGCAAGCAAACTTGAAAACTAAAATCTCTCGCACCTTCTGCTGTCAAAGGGAGCAAACACTGTTGCGGAAGATCATATTTCTCAAAATCTGAAGGAAAAGCTCCGAGCCATTGTACCTCCAGGACACGCAAAAATTTTGCATCATAGGCCATTTGCTTCCAACATTGAAGTGCAAGGAAGAAAGAAAGAAAGAAAAAGGAATCAAGTCACAGGGTAGAGGAGATTTGGGAATTTACATTTTATATTTATCTTACTCTCAAACTGAATCGAATAGACAAATATCAGAACAATATATTATCCAATCAAGAAGCTTAACTAACCATAGAACCAAATTTATAGGTACTCAGGATGTCAAAGCCATATGGATCACAGTCTACTAAACAGTAGACAGGCAGAAACAGCTTCTCAACAAGTAGCCGCAAGAACCTGATCATGCTTAAGAGTTCATTGGACAAAGATCAGAAAGCTCAAAGTCATGAGAGTGGTGTATACAACATACAGTACAGCAGACTTTCTACCTTCTGGTGGGAATATCTGGATACCCTCTTCCCTGCAAATCACAGAAAGAGAAATAAACACAGAAACAATGCAAAGAAGATATAATCAACTGAGTATGTGCTTACTGTGATGACAATACAACGGTTTGCATTACAGAACCGATCATTAGCTAAACGCTGGAATACTGGATGACAGATTCAAATTCAGCCAACTAAGATATCTGAAATATGGAACTCTTAGTTTCTTTTGAAACATGAACGTGGAAGACCAGAAGATTCACCTGATTCTTTCTCCACAATGAGTATGTATTTGGCAACACTGACAATATCTATATGCAAGGGGGAAAAAAAAAGCATTACGGCAATCCATATTCAAGAATTATACTCACAGAATGTTCCATTAAGCAAGAATAGAACCTATTCGATAGATATTCAAAACTACAGTTTAAAAAACAATTGCAAACGCCACTCATGAACTTGAAATATATATATATATGCTGTTGAAAATTAGCGTGAAACAACCCAAATGCATGATATTTTCGTTTCCCTTTTCAATCAAATGGTAATGTGCATTTTGGGTCAGTAAAGAAGTCTACTACCACTACATCCCATTGCTGTCACTTAGCAGTTAATTTCTGGATATTTCAGTTCAGATACCTTTGACTTCCTCAACATGCACGGGGATAGGATAGGCCTGCAAATGAATCAGATACACAATCATATTCCAGAATGTGAGAAGTTGACTCAGTATATGATTTCTTTCATTCTTACAGTCGTAGGAGAACTTATGCAATCAAATTTCCTTTCAGCTTCCAAGAACCGTAACCATCCCATCACTAACCTATATAACAAGCATAGATGGATCCATAAATAATACGATAATCTTATACACACTGAAACAGAAATTTTCAAGAGTTAAGTGTGACCCAGAAGTACCCACCCGTTCCCAACAGAGACCTGCCAAAGGATTTGACAGTTAGTAAATTTCTAAAGATCTCAAGAACAGTAATTTCCCTTCAAATTATAGAGCAGCTCAAGGAAGCAATCTCAAAAATTGGGGAGGACTGTCATCAAACATATTGAATACTTATTTTACCTTCCGCCTCTTGACTAATTATAACTAAAAGACCAGAATTCACTGATAATCAATAAGATCAACAATGACAACTATCGCACTTTCTTAGCAGTTTTAAAGGAAGATGGGTGTTTAGGTAGGAATTGGTTAAGCCAAGAGAGAAAGAGTAGCCTCCTGCACGCTAATGACAACTGCACTCTTGAATTTAATATCAAAAGCAGGAAATCTTTAATGTTTAAGATATTGACTAGCATCCTTTCCCAATCATTGAAAGTTTTCCTTTAACCCCTCATAAGCAGTATCCTTTAACCAGATATTATTTTCAGAAAAAAGTAAGACCAATGTAATGTCTACCACATTTAGGTTGTGACGACTGCATTGCAGAAGGATGCATATGTCGTTAATTGCCCGGTCCACAACAGACTGTTCTGCATGCAAAAAAAAAAAAAAAAAAAAAAAGCAGCAAAACTTTACAATCATCTCATGAAGTTCTAGCATGTTATTGCATGCAATTTTACGAGTCAAATCAATCGCACAGAAATTTGGGTTAGCAGGCACCTCATTTTCACCAATTGAATTGCACACGATAACATATTCCAGGTTAGCTTGCATAATATAATATAACATCTAGCAAGAACCATATCTCTATCTTATAAAATACACAACGTTTTTAAATTCACCTGAAAATACAGATGGGTGCATGTAATATATATCTCTCTTAGATCCATGTCGGTTCTCTTTCAGAAGTTGCTGAACAACCACTAGCACTCTCAACAAGACATCTGAAACATAACAAAGAGACCAAAAATGAACTAAATGATGCTTACTTCATTAGATTAGTTCCTCCACACAATTTTATTAAATAACGCACGCAACTGACCTATTCTATACGCATGACATTCTCTCGTAAGTGTGAGAACTTGTTGCCCCTTCGGCAAATCAGAGCTGCACAAGCTGCATAAACCTATAGGTTACATAAACTTGATTTCACATGAGATGTCTTGAAACCCACAATACAGTAGACATTTAAATACGTTATCTTCTAATACACAATAATACTAATAATAATAATATGCCCTTTCATCCTTTGTGTGTGATTTTGTGATACTAAAATGCATTAATTTGCTAACCCCTAATCGTATACCTGCTAAAACTTCTCGTCTTTTTCAAAAAGTTGAAATTAGAATTTTCATACAGTAACTTGTTTGCAATTTTATCAGCATCCAAACAGAAAGTTTAAATTCAGAGCATAACCCATACATTGCAATTGATTACGCAACTTATAAAACATTGAAAAAAAAAACAAAAAACAAAAAACCAGTTAGAATTGGGGTCGGTGCAGTAGTTTCTAAATTTGTGGATGAAAATGGCAGGAGATCGTCCCTCGCTTAGCTCTTTCACCAAAGATCTCGTCAAATCTGTAATCAGCAAACTATGAACGAAATCAAAGGATCAATGATAATTAATTATTGAAATTTTGTTTTGTTGACCTTTGATTTTTGAGAGTAAAGCCCTGCTGCTGCTGTCCCTATGCCTTCTTGAGCTTGCATTTCCCTCCATTATTTGATTTCTTCCTTCTTTTCCGTGTGTTCTCTTAACGTGACAAAGTGTGTGTTCATAGAAAATTGGGCCGATAAAGTAAATGGCATATATTATCCGCGTACTGTACTTCTCATTTTCCACGGATTTTGTCTTTCTACGAAAGTTTTATCAGTTTTTTTTTTTTTTTTTTTTTTTTTTTTGAGAAAATCTCAACAGAATTATTAGGATGACGAGTAAGGATTTGTTTTATAAAGAAAAATAAAAATTATTTTGGATTTGTTTATTTTTAAGGATATGAGTTAACATATATTTTGAAATCGCCACTTATTATTAAAAAAAATTAAGAACCTTGAAAATGACATTGGATTCGAGAGATTGCGAGTTAAAAGTTGGTTATGTTTTTTAAAAGATATTAATCGTCCAAAAACATTTTTTTAGAATATATACCATGTCTGGTTTAATTTAAAAAAAGTATCTATTAAGAATTCATGTTTTACCAAATTATTCCCTAAGTTTATTTCCAAGTTTGTTTATTGTCCAAACCAATTTTTTTTAATTATTATAACATCGTATTAAATTATCGTCGAACCTCGAAATCAAGAGTCTTATCAATTTAATATTGGATCCAATTAACTCATGATCCGACCAGACTTGTCGAGGAACAACCTAATTACTAATGATATCTAACTTGTACTTTCCTAAATTGGCATTTCTATTTTGTTTTCCTTTTTTTTTTTTTTTAGAATAACGTCTATTCCTATTAAATATGATATTCGTTAAATTGACTTGAATTTTTTAATTATCCTAAGATGACATATTTGTTTTTAGCATGTTGAATTTGATGAATGATCGTCATGAATCCCTAGAATCTAAGAGATTTGATGATCCCTTCTCACATTAACTAAAACGATAAATATATTAACACTAGTAGAATTTAAAATAAATTACAAATAAATAGTAAATAAACCTTAAAAATTGTGAAAATTGAAACACAAGATATAGACAAATATATGTACAAAGTGTAGAAATTTCATGTCAAAATAACAAGGTACTAGAATTAAAAATCAACTTCTAGAATAAAACACATTAATGATGATAGAATAATGATAGAACAATAATAAATATTAAATAAATAGAAGATGAACTCACAAAATTATGAAACTCGACACACAATTTATATACAAGCATATAAATATATTCTAAAAATTTTAGTGTAAAGTAAAATCAAACAGATGGCTAAATAGTTAAGTCCTTAGACAAATAGCAAAACAATTAAAAATTAAGAAGAATATTAAATAAATTTCAAATAAATAGTAAATGGACTTCAAAAATTGTGAAATTTAAAACACAAACTAAGTATAAATATATGTACCACATATGAAAAATATTCAGGTCAAAATGATTAAGGTAGCCTTGTCAAAATAATTAAAATCCAAAAACAAATCCTACAATTAAAAAAAAAAAATTGCTTGTTTAGAGGCCTAAAGTTTTAGCCCTTGGCTTCAATAAGATCCAGCCTTAAACTTAGTCTCACCGTCGTGTAACCCTAACCAAAAAAAAGAAAGGCCCACTATCCCTTATTCAACCCATGGGTCGTGGCCTTACTTTCACATCATACGAGCCGAACCATTTTGCAAGCCTCGGGCCTTCCTAAGCCTTTTTCTTTCCTTCCCTGGTTTGTAAACCTCAACCCATCTAAAACACTAATCCTAGCCCATGACATTTGTTCCTTCTTCCTAGCCCATGTCACATGTTTCTTCTTGCCTTAATTTCTCCTCCTCTACTCGTTGTGAGCTTCATTGTAACATAGACATCTTTCTTCTCGTTTTCATTCTCAAATAACAACACCAAGCCCCTTACTAGTAATGAATGACATACTAGCCAAGCAAAGATAAGAAAAGAACATAAAGGATTCTCTTATGGCTTGACTACCAAAATAACAAACCGAATAATCATAGAGGTGAAGATTTTATACATCCTATCGATCATCAAAATTAGTTAACAAAAACAAGAATCATCGAGTCGAAACAATGATGGCTAATGTCGCTCAAAATTTTGTGCTTTTACATGGTGATAGTGGCAAAGCCACTATCCTTAATCCTTAAGTTTGTGAAAATGTTTAAGCTAACTTAGGAAGATATGGGGACAACAATGGGAAACCGATTTAAATTGCAAAGTGAAGAAAGGAAACGAAGATAGTACCTATTTGGAGCTCGATGACTATTGGAGACAAGGTTGATGGCAGGGGATGTTTGAAATGTGATTTTCTCTCTTTCTCACTTCTCCTATAAAGGGCCGACCCACGTACAAGGCTACGGGGCTCGACCCACCTCCTTTTTTTCATGAAACATCCCATGCCACTCTTTTTTATCATCTTTTTTTATTTTGTCACAATTCTACTTCTAATATGACACAATCTTTTTTACCAATTGTTCTACTCTCTAAATCTTTATTTTAGTAGATCTATCTTATCTCTATTCAAGAACCTAATCGAACAACAACCACTAGCTACTATAAAAAACACACACTTGTAAACAATTCTTACTAATTCATTTATATTTCAAATTTGACCTTGGATGCCTACATTTATTGATTTTACGAAGTTACAAAAATATTATTCCACCCAATGCATCTTTGGACAAACCTAGTCTTCTTTTAATATTTTTTAACCTTTACCCTAGGTTCCCCACTGGGCATTACTAAATCCTTAATATTTTTTAAATTGATCCCAATTGTCTTCCAAGCACAACTAAACCTCGTTCCTTTTTCCTTTTTCCTTTAACTCTCACTCTATTCAAAACACCAAAAAGAAAACCTTTTCTTTGATTTAGATTTCTCTTATTCGACACAGTAAGTATTTTCTTAAAAAATCGGTAATTTGTTAACTCTTATTATATTGTTTACATTATTAATCTAATAATTTTTTATTTTATATATTGATTGAATCTTGGCAACTCCTAATTTTTTTTAAATAATATTTTATAATAAAATATTAGATTGGTTGTCTTCTCAATTTTATTTTATGTGATTAAGGTATTTATTGGATCCATGGCTTAATAAAATTCGATAATCTATCTACTTGAATTAAAATTGTACTATTGATTTTGAAATTTTGTGATGTTGTTGTGCTTATAGTTATAGACCCAAAGAAAAAAAAACAAAAGGAGTTTTAACAATAGGAATGCACGATTACAATTTACAAATAACCATTCTTCTTTCATTAAAGGTTATTAAAAAATATCTTTAATTATTTTACTCATAACCATATTTAGATTAATATATTGGATTCTCAATTATTTGTTTATTAATAATGATGATTTTTCTTATTTATATTTTATGTGTTCTACATTACTAAAGTGAATATTTTGAACTATAATCAACTTGTTAATGTATATTGAAAAAAAAAATTGTTAAAATTTTTATTATAGATTCGCTTATAGATGATTTTCGTGACTTGAAAGAACGAAGATCTCTATTTTGAGTAATTGTATTTTAAGACTATTTTAAAATATATGTTGGTACGAGTATTTATATAATACACACACACAGATATATATATAAGTTATAAGTTATAAGTTCATGTAAACCATAACAAATTTATAAACATTTATTTTCACCCCCATGGACATTTGGTCATGAGTCCGCTAGTCTTCTATTCCTCTTCTTTAATACCAAAAAAAAAAAAAAAGTGCTAAAACTTCCCGCTTTCTTGATCTGTTTTAAGTTTCTTCTTACCAAAACTAATAAAGTCTTTGGGTTCCTACTCTCTCTATGTATATTTTGATAGCACTTCTCTCAAAAACCTTCGACCACCAAAATCTCTCTCTCTCTCTCTCTCTCTCAAGCTATAACCTCTCTCGTTTTATATTCAATTTTCACCTTTGATCACATCCATCTATTACTCTCCTTAAATCATCATTGTTCATTGTCTTTATACCAAAGCCCTCTCCCATTTTGTTTTCTAAGGCCATCTAATTTTTTTTTCATTTTTATTTTATGTTTAACAAACTTAAAGGCAAGATAGAGGAGAGAGCGTAGTAGGTGGGTGTTGTGTGTTTTTTGGTTTATCTAGGTGCTAAAAGGATTAGACTAGTACAAGGCTAGCTAGAGAGGAAGGACAAAACACATACTTGGTTGAGACAAAATGAGAGAACTACCAAAAGAACCAAGTAGAAAACTACTACGGAAGATAGTGAATAGCAAATTCACTATCTTCAAAATTGTATCATTTCCAAAATTTCAAATTGGTCCTTCCTTCTTTCAATGTTTTTTTTTTTTTTTTTTTTTTTTTTTTTTTTGCAATTACACTCCTACATTTCCTAATTTTGGTTTCTATTTTTTTCATTCTTTTCTATTGCAACCTCGATTATATTTTCTTAATAATTAATCCTTTGTTTTTTTTTTTTTTTTGCATTTTTTCTTTTTTCTCATTCTTCCGTATTTTTTATTTTCATATTTATGGTAATTTAATAAAAAAAAGGAAAAATAATCCAATTTTTTTCTTTTTTTGGTGTTTCATTTCATTTTTAATTTTTTTATTTTGGAATGATACATATAATTAAACTTTAATAATAAAACTAAACTAGATAGTAATAATAAATAATAACAAAATAACAAACAAAATTCATGAGTAATCAACACTACAAAATTAAATTAAAATATCTTAAAATTATAAAATAATTAAAAGGGGCAAATTTAGGTTATGATAAGTGTTGACTCTTTACAATGCTTATTATGCAATGTTGATCGAAGTGTAAACTTTGGATTGACATTGTTTAGTGATCTTGTAAAGAAAAAAAGTTTTTGAGTGAGAAAATCAGTCCGATTGTTCCGGGTGACTTGTCCCTACTAATACCGATGGTCTAATTTTTTTGGATGACTCGTTCCTACTTTTACCGATTATCTAGTTGTTCTAGATGACCTATCCTTATTTTTACTACCGATCCGATTATTTTGGATTATTTATCTCTATTTCTACTAATGATCCGATTGTTTTGTGTGACTTGCCTCTACTTCTA